GCGAGCGTGGCGGGGCGCACTCGGGGGCGTGTTATTGTATGTTTCCCAGCGGGCGTGGACTCGGCTGGAGCCTTGGGTCGCTGCCTACTGTAGCTGGTATCTACTGGGCACGGAAAGGTTTTGACTTTGCTGGGCGAGCCCAAAGACAGACGAGGCAACAAACTGTTGAAAGCTTGCAGTGGGGGAGGAGGGGGGTGGGGACTAAAACAGCCGGCAAAAGGCAGAAGGACAGAGGGAGTCATTTAAAATAGACCCTGTCAACACCAGATTAGACCCGTAACCCTGTCGATGAGGACAGCAGCCTTATTTAAGAAAAATACTGTAAGGGCTAAAGGTGTCAGAGTGCAGGTAATTTCCAGTGTACTCAGCTATTCTTAACTCGGGGTGGGGGAGGTGAGGGGTTTGGGAGGCACTGGTAAATGGATGGGCTTCAGGGGCCTCTGAACCCTGTAAAACTAGGTGAAATTGTATGTGCTCTTAATTGGTGAGATAATTACAGCTTCCTTTAGCGGATTCTCGAAAGATCGGTGACCTTTCCCTCCCCCTCCCTCGCCCCCTTAAAAAAAAAGAAAAGAAATTCAAAAGTTTAGAAAGCTGGAAGTAAGGGAACTCCAGGTCTGCAGTTTGGGGAGCTGCAGGTTTTTGTTGGTTTCCCCCCTAGGTTGCCGGGCACCCTGCCCTTTCTACGGCTTGTGCATGGGTAGCTTCCCAAGGCCCCCAAGTCAGAGCCGTGGCTGGGGTTCCTTAGCTCTGCCCTCCCAGAGGAGTGGACGGAGAGCCGCACCAGGTGACAGTGCCACGGAGTGCGCCCCGCCGCCAGCTGGCCGCGTGGCGTGTATCTTGCTGGTGGCCTGGAGAGCAGGATGGGTGGCTCTGTGTGAATCCATCCCATGTGGGAAAAACATCTCAAAGGGCGAACCCCACAAATGTGGTGCTAAGGTGCTTCATTTTTCCTTTTCTTTTTAGAAATCTGCTCAAAAGTACGCTTTTACGAAAAGCACAGCCACCTCTGTGAATGATTTCCATTGTGTAGTCAGCCTACGAAGCAATTGCTCTCAAAGGAGTAGGTAATTGTAGATAAGGCCATTTAAAATAAGTTCTTGGAGCATCAGGGGAAAGAGGATATTTAATGCGAAATCCCATTAAAAGGGAACAGCCAGGCTGCTGGTGACTTCTGCAGGATAGGTAGGTAAGATAGGAAAGGGTCTACAACATACATACCCAGGCTAGCAAATGTTTTTCCACTACCAGCTGCCCTGGAGAATTAGCCCCTGGTGACCTGATGTGGGAGTCAGGTCACCAGGTCTAAGGTGAAGTGGAAAATGAAGGTCAACCTCTGTTCTTCCCGCCCCCCCCACCCCCAGGAACCCCAGCAATGTTTCTCCACTCAGCTGTAAAGCAGCCACGTGGAGGTTGCAGGATAATGATCACCAGGCTTGTCTAGCCGTGGTTTTCATTTTTCAGTGTTTCTCTGGGTCCTCGATTTGAGTTTTATTTAAATCTTCAAGCACTGGTAACTTAAACTAAGTGTTTGGGTTTCAAGTATTTTTGTGTGTGTGTGAGTGGGGGTATGACTAAATTAATTATAAAAATAGGTGATGTGATTTGTAAATGTAAAAAGCTACGTAAAGCAAGAGATTAGGACCAGTCACCTTCTGAAAAAAAATTCAGTTCATCCTAGTTGGAACCCTGTTGGTAATTTAATGCCCATGTCAAGGTTCTCCACTTGGGGAGTAAATTCTTTACAAAAACAACATAGCCTCCATATGTGTTTCAAATGCTCCTGGTTCTTAGTAAAAATTAGATCATAATGTTAAGTGCAGACAATAGGAATGCTTTGTAAGACCTGGCTCCTTTAAGCCAACATTTAATAAAAGAGTAGTGCTGTTTGGTCATTTCTAGACAAATAACATTTTAAACAAATTCATAACAAATGAAGAAGCCACTTTTTAGCTGTCTTTAGGGAGAAAAAAAATTTTTTTCAGTTGGTCTTTAGGGGCCAAATTAAGGCACTTTGACTTTTTTTTTTTTTTTCCTTCATCATAAGGTCCTTTTATGTTACTTGAATGTTGTGGCCAACTGCTTTGAATGTACAATTATGTGCTTGTCTTGAAATGTAAGTGTTGGTAACAGTGTAAAATTTTGGAGAGAATCTGGATACATGGGAATAGTCCACTGAGCCCTGAGAGGCCAGAGAGATTTTTTCCAAGTTGAATTTACGCAGTCCTTTGAGCTATGTAGGCATGTTTTCCCAAGTAAATCATTGGGTTTTATGTTCATACCTTTAACGCTGTAGAATACTTTGTCACATAACTGGCTTAAAATATGGCATCCAACACAAAATATGTTAAGATATTTTGTTCTTGTTTCTGTTTTTCAGGGGGTTTGGGAAACAAGGTTTCCAGTGCCAAGGTAAGCTGCCATGTTTTCTTTCCTTTTCAAGTACAACATGAAATTGGCATTCCAAACAGGGGCTGTATTTTCTTTGTCATCCAAAAAAAGTTATTTAGATATATTCAAAATATGAGGGCTGTAAATGTGGGCCTTAAATAAACATCATGCAGTATTGCCCAGTAGTCTACATATAGAGCTGTCTTTTTCTCATTGAAAAAAAAAACACACACACACCACCAAAACCTTCCTGTAATTTTATCTTTCGCCAAGAACATTCTTGTCAGAAACTGCTGTCTTTGTGTGGGTGTTCAGGAAAAAAAAAAAAATGGAAATCGCTTTGTAATCCCGTGGCTTTTCTTGTTCTTCATCCGTTTTTGTTCATCTCTTACCCATGCATTGAGTTGGACTCCTAATTTTAGGGCACACATTATACTAGGAAGTTGTTTGTTATTTGATTAGTAATAGTCACCTAGAACAAAGTTTGCAGGTTAATTTAAAATTGGGTAGATGATTGGATCATGACTGTGTGCTATGTATGACACTTGGCACGTTTTTCCTTCAGCTTTAATCTGTGACAATATATGATACTGTCCATTACAGAAAGAAATCTCTGATTTCACACACGTAAAGTATATAACTTTTTAATCTCTCCATTCTATTTGTTTATGTTTTTTAAAGCATTTTGTAGTTTGTGAAGGCATCCCAGGTTTTATTAGCCTACCTTCTGGCTCTCCTGCTCACTGTCTATATTATGTTTATTTAGTGCTGGTTACATTTCCCATCTGGGCATAGGTTTATTATTAGGGCAAGTGGAAAGTACATTCTAGCCTGGAAAATATTATCCTAACACTGTTTAATATTTAGTGCAGGAGAGAGAGAAGACCATACTTTCTGTATCTTTACAAAAAGTTGTGCTAGTAAGTTGATTACATTTAAAACCTTCTGCAAATTGGTGAACTTTTTTTTTTTTTTTTTTTTTTTTTTTTTTTTTTTTTTTTTTTTTTTTTTTTTTTTTTTTATATGCAGGGTAGGGCAAAAGTAAGTTTACAGTTGTAAGTACAGGAAACAGTTTATTCTTGTATTATTAAGTATTGTATTTTCCATACAAGTAACTGTAAGTCTACTTGTGCCTCAGCCTGTGCATTTTCTAAAGATTTTAGGTGTGGGTATTTTATGGTGTGGTTAATACTTGACCTTTCTTCACAATGTGCTTAAAATCCCTATCAAATAAATCCTTTTGAGAGTTACATTAGGAAATCAAGGGATATTCCTTTAAAAACAGAGACTAAAGAGAAAGATGTGTTGCACCAGTATCTTCATAAAAGATGAAGGTGTAACTCTTTCCATTTCTCAAGTGGTGGACCTGAGCTTCGGAGGCAGTGCTTGGGCCCACACTGGAACATGAAGTTAGGAAGCTTAAAGATGTGAACTTGTGACCGTGAGCTAAGGTGGATCACATCGGTTATTGTTGGTAATGTGTTTGGGTGGGGACCTATGGAAACCTATAAGAAAAAATATTTACTAAGTTTTCTAAATAATAACTAGTAGAAAGTGGGTATGTTATTTTAAAAACCATGATTTTCTTCATATAAAGAACTCTGGGTCAAGTTGGTCCCTTTTAGACCTGCTCTTCAGAGCAAATTTTATTGGCAGAATCAAAGAATGGCTGCATTATTGGGCCACAATGGGGAACCCGAGTTTCCTCCCCTCACAGAGGATCTGTTGAACTTTTGGTGACTTAGCAGACTCATAGTCTCAGCATAACTCCCTTTAACCCGAATTATGATAGTGATAGTCACAAAAATTGTGAACACGTTATAAAAATAAAATTGTGTTCTTTTCTCCCTTTCCACCCTCAGTGATAACTTCTGTTTAAGACAACCAGTCATGTAGTGTTTTAAAAAGTGATCAAATTTTTAATCATTCTGCAACTTAGTTTTTTTACTCAGCAGTATATGGTGGATACCCTTCCATGTCAATACATCAGTTCTACCTTACTCTGTGTAGTGATTGCATGTGCAGATATAATCAGATTTACTCACCCATATCTCTCTTGATGGGTATTTTAATTGTTTCTAAGTTCTTAACAGTACAAATATTGTTGTTGATAATATCCTTGGATACTTGTGTAGGTATTTCTACAATAGATACATAGAAGTGTGTGTGTGTATACATCTAAAAATTTAAAAAAATGTTTTATTGATTTCAGAGAGAGAAAGGGAGAGGGAGAGAAGGATAGAACATCAATGATGAGAAAGCATCATCGATTGGCTACCTTCTGCACACCCCCTACTGGGGATCAAGCCCACAACCCGGGCATGTGCCCTGACTGGGAATTGAACTCGGTGACCTCTTGGGTGATGCATGGGTCAACATTCAACCACTGAGCCACACCAGCCGGGCATGGGAAGCACTTTTGAATCTTGAGCCTTTTCCCTATTAAGATTATACCAAACATTGTACTTACCTGTGTCTCTCCCTGAAACTCCGCGTTTTTTAGGAGTTAAGGGTTTAAAGCAGCTCCCCTTCGCCTTTGCTGAGGACATTCCATTGTGAAGGTCTGCTTCGGGGTAGCTGTTTCCATCAGCTCACCTGAGCAGGGTGGTGTTTTATATTCCTCCTCTAAGAATGAAATGAGATTTTCGAGGGAAGAGGAGGAATAAAGAATGAGTCCCCCTTGGCCACACAAGCTGAGGCATTTCAGAAAATCAAGCCAGTGAAAGGGAGGGTGACCTTTAACAGAACGGGGATTGAGTTGGCAGCTTTTCAGAAAAGAATGTCTAGTTATTCTAATCAGAATGCAGGGTCTGAGAGCCAAGAAGTGCGGGCACCCAGTGCCAGGAGATAGGAATGGGCTGAGGTCCAAGTTGGGTGGAACATGAGGTTGGCCCCTTTAACAGTGCATTTGTCCTTCCTATATATGGGGTTGGCCACCCCTGAACTCAAATAGGCCATTGATTTTTAAAATTGATCCCAATATTTTTTTTTCATTTCCAATTACAGTTGACATTCAATGTTTTATTTGTTTCACGTGTACTGCATAGTGGTTAGACATTTATGTAATTTACAAAGTGATTCTGACACCCCCTTCCCCATAAGTCTGGTACCCACCTGACCACCTGATGTCAGGATTTTCCATCCTTCATCTTCAAAACATGGGTCAGCCTCTTGGCACCGCACTTTTCATTGGTTACCCCGGATTAGAAGCTGTGCTAACCATAGATGGACTCTTGGGGTTATCTACAGAGTGCCAAAAAGACAGGCCCATGGAAGAGTGAGTGTAAGTTGAAAGTTTTACACTGAGGTCAGATCAAAGCATTGTTTCAGATTTGAAGATGAAATTGTCAATAATACCTAAAATATGGAAAACTGCAGTGGTGGTGGGCAGTAAAAATTGCTTTTCGCCCTGGCCCATTTGACTAGGTTGGTTGGAGCATCATCTCATGTATCAAAAGGTTGTTCATTCAATTCCTAGTCAGGGCATATGATCAGGTTTTGGGCTCAATTCCCAGTGGAGGCCATACCGGAAGCAGCCAATGGATGTTGCACTCTCACATCAATGTTTCTCTCTTACCTCCTCCTTTTCTCTCTCTCTCTCTCTCTCAATAAAAAATCTAAAAGAAACACAAAAAAACCCTCTGCTTTTCTTTTCAATAGTTCCCTCCCCACCCCCACAAAGATGCATTAATACTTGCTAGAAATGGGACACATGGGCAAAACTAGTGTTGGGTATTTCCATTTGATGCTATATACTTGTCGTGAAATGATTTCTGATGCATGGCTTTCGGAATTGTACTTAGTACATTAAGTGAAAGTGTTTTATTGTTTTAGTCACACATCCCCACCCATAAGCTGATGTAGCATATGAGTGCTTATTCTTCCTACGAGGCAGTAGAAACCTAATAAATATGCATTTTTGAGGAAGAATCTGACATTCCGGTTTCCTTTTCTAATTTTTTGATGCAGTGATTTACTGCCCTCTGAGTGTTTCACCCTCCCGGGATGCTGTTATTCAAATTTAAATTTTTTAGGCACCTTCACCCTTAGCTTGCTCATTCATTTTCCTTCTGAGGATTCAGATTTCAAACCGGCATTCATTTCGGAGCTTCCCTCTCAGCTGCAGGCTGTCTCCTGGTCTCCTGGGTGGGACGTTCTGTCTCTACAGTCCTGCTGCCTTGCTCTTTCAGACTCCTCTCAGGAAGCTTCCTTCTCCTCATCCTCCCAGTCATTCTGAACACGTTGCCGTTTCCCAGAAAGGGTTTTCTTTCTCCAGTTCTTTCCCCGCCCTCTTTTTGCCCCCGAAATGCCTGTTTCCCCAGGGAGTCTTGGCCCGGACCTTTCCCGTCCTCTGCCCTCCCTGTCCTCGGACCCTCACCTTGTGTCGCTTCTTGTCGGTTCCTCCGCCAGCCAGCGAGCAAGGGCCGAGGCTTAGTTCTGTCTCCAGTGTTTAAGGCAGCGCCTGGCGCTTGGTGGACTCCATGTAAACAGTAGGAGAGATATGACAAGAATGCCCATAACCGGGAGGATTACAGTGACTTCTGCCTGCCTATTTTTTAAAAATCTAGTTTATGATCCAAAGTTATGTCAACTAGGGTAGATCTTTAGGTGGCTGAGGAAAAAGTGCTTTCCAAAGCTAAGCCTACTTATTCAAAACATGGAGCAGAAAACTTTAATTTGTACCTCTAACTAGTTATATGTAATGCTAACCTTACAGCATTAGTACCATAGGAGGAAACCACTTCATGTGCTCTCCTTCTATCTTTAGAGAGGTACCCAAGCGTCAGAAATGAATCGTATTGTCACAAATAAAACCAGCTTGTTGTGGGCCGCAGCAGGAAGGGGGAAATGTCCTGGCCTTGGGGGACGGGGAGGGCGGGGGAGGGATGAAAAGCAGCCCCCATCCACATGTCTGGTGCAGCCACTGAAGGGTCCCGCTTTATTTCGAGATCGCTCATAGCTGAAACGTGGCCATGCTCCAGAGGCAGTAGCTCAACACGACTGGTTCTGGTTTTCTTCAA